GTTGGATTATGCGATATGTGTGACGTTTAGTCAAAATAAATTGACTTTTTTTTTATTTCATTTACGGAGTGCTGGTGATTTCTATTGTTCATTGACTCTCTCTATCATGTATCTCTCTCTCCCTCCCTCTCTCCATCATCTCTCTCTCGCCATTATCTCTCTCTCTCCATCATGTCTCTCTCTCTCTCTATCCATCATCTCTCTCTCTCTCTCTCTCTCTCTCTCTCTCTCTCTCTCCATCATGTAAGAGCACATGGGTTCACCTGTTTTATTTGCAAAGCAAACTTTTATTTACTTAAGAATACATGAATTATGTTATAATAATTAAACTGTTACCGTATTTGCCGGGGTATAAGGTGACTGGGTGTATCATTTCGTGTGCACCTTACTTTATCACTGGTAACAAATTGTTGAGTGCGTTTGTCGTTTGTTTTGGGTGTATAAGACGACCCCCTAATTTTCCACCTAAAACATATGTTTTCGGCTATACTCGTCATATAAGACTACCCTACTTCCGAGGCAACAGCATTTTAAAAAATCATGGACCATCATCCATCATGGATGGATGTGCGGTAATACTGTATGTACAGTATACCGCGCTGAGCCAATCACGGCGAGCAATGTATTCTATTAATGAATACAAGGCTTGCTTGGATTGGCAGAGGTTGTGTACATCGCTCGCCGTGATTGGCTCAGCTACTGTATGTAGCCGAAGCTACCGTACATACAGTATTACCGCACATCCAGCGGGCTGACAGATCAGGGATGTTCGTTTTGGGCCAGCTTTGCCTAAACGAACTAAAGGGAGACATTGTTTACCTCGCGTATAAGACGACCCCCGATTTTCGGGGGATGTTTTTAAATATAAAAAGTCGTCTTATACGCCAGCAAATACTGTACATTGTTCTTCAAAACTGGTTGATTTCATGTCAGCAGCCAAAACATCATGATATCTATACATCACCCGCCTTCTGTGGAGTGCCAGGATGCATGAACAGAAGAAAATACATACCCCAGATCCCCCTGTTACTCCAAAACAGCCAATAAGGAACTAGCCTTCTGTCCAGCAAAATGCTTCCAGGGAACTTTTCTTTAATATTACTTTGTATACATATTACATGAAAGGTTGTATCTATAAAAGAATTCTGTTCAGCTGTAATTCAGACTCCCGGTCTAGACAATATAGCTGAATCCTTGACCTCCACAGTGGTAAAAGTAGAGCTTGGTCAGGAACACGCCCCAAACTGCTGATTGGAGAATGAAAGAGCAGCATAAAGATGACTCATTGCCCTGCTTATTCTGCTCTTTCATTGTGTTAAAAAGCAATTAAAGCCAAACCTGAGGAATTAATTATTAATGTACCCCCGTGACCCAAAGTCAGCATATAGCTGGTGAGTCACGCCGCAGCTGGGAAGGAGCTCACTGTCAGGATCCACCCTGCTGCCCATTTGACAGCTGGCTCCGCCTCTCCCCCTCCCTCCCGTTTGTTCCTCCAATTAACGCTGGAGAAACAAAGAGGAGAGGGGGGATCCGTGTGGGGAGAGGGGGGTGACTGATGGTTAACGCCCTCTGTAGGAAGAAGATCATGAGCTGAGCGATCAGAGGTCGCACAATCAATCAGCTCTTGATCTAGAGAGTTGGCACGAGACAACTGCAATGTCCCCTGCCGGCTCTGAGTATTGGGAAGAGTAGATTTTACTCTCCAAATACTTCTCCTTTAACAGATTCCCTGGCAGCACATGTGTATACAGTAGAGCCCGATTGGTTCCCTGAGCTGCCCCTCCCTCTCACAGTCTGCAGCTGTGCAGGGGACTATAGAAAGCTAAAATGAAGACAGATTTGGGGGGTTTATTGATTTTATTAACAATTTATCATTTTATTGATTTTTTGTTTTACATTTCCAACTACTATTTTTATTTTTATATTTTTAAATATATTTTTGTTTTCATTTTATATTTTCCTGAAGTTAAATTTAACACAACCCTTGTTTTAGGAAAACTACAACCCTCCCTGTAATGGTGTCCCTGTGCCTCTCTGCATGCCAAAATCCAAGTGAAGTATTTTAAAATGTTGTTCCTCTGTGTGAATACTTGACTTCCTCTCCTGGGTGTCACAGATGAGCAAGTCTGTACCAAGAAAACACAGGATTCTTGTACTCACCTTAAAATCCTTTTCTCTTCATCCATTCAAGGGCACAGCTGGATCTTAATGTTGCGCTAATATTGCGCAACATAAAAATTTTCAACTACCACCATTTTATTCTATAGGGTCTTGGCATTCAGAAAATATATAATGTTGGGGGGTTTTACGTCATTTTCAGGCCTAAAATGTGGAATATAACATGGGTGCAAAAATTGAAAAAAGGGCCTCAGTCATGAAGGGGTTAAAGTCAAATGGTTTGCAAGCGATATCAAACGCTGATGAAATCACTTACAATGGATGCTGCTCATTGATGTGTAAAAGTTTTAGTTTCCTGCAGAATCCGCTGGTCCCCAGAGCACTGGTCCTGATATCCCGTTTTAGGGTGACTCCTTTCACTTGAAGGGTCCTACGGAGTCACCTTTGCGTGTGCTAAGGTGTGTGTGTCTCCACAAACACACAGACACAGCATAAATACATCAAACATATGAGTGTGTGTATGTGTGTGTGTGTATATATATATATGTATACTGTATAGATAGATAGATAGATATAGATAGATAGATAGAAAGATATACACTATATATATATATATATTTACACACACACAGTCATATGTTTGTTGTATCTATACAGTTCAATGGCGTAGCCTTGACTTTGCATTAACACAGCTCAGTTGTAACCCATTTATATGTTTCTATTGTGTCCTTGGTGAAGGGGACACAGATCCTTGAAATGTGTTGGCTCCTTTTCTTTTATTAAATTTATTCAGAATTAACAACATTATACCTTCAAAATCCTGATATAGAGAAAAATTATTCCTTAGAATTTTAAGTGGTGTGACCATTTCCTTCACTGTTTCTACAAAGTCCACTCTACCTTCCTCACTTTACTACAAAAATGTTTGGGTCTTTTTGCTCTCTTTGTCCATTTGGGGGGGGGG